TCACCGTATCCACTGTTAGCGTAACACACCTGCTTGAAGATAACAAACTGCTATTCAATCTATAACAGTGAAAAAAGTTTTTTGTTTTTAAATCCAAGTTTTGTGTCACCAGATCTAAGTGTTGGCACTGGTCACCGTATCCACTGTTAGCGTAACACACCTGCTTGAAGATAACTACCTGCTATTCAATCTATAACAGTGAAAAAAGTGGTTTTTTTTTTAAATCCAAGCTATTGTGACACCAGATCTAAGTGTTGGCACTGGTCACCGTATCCACTGTTAGCGTAACACACCCGCTTTAAGGACACTGACTGCTATTCAATCTATAACAGTGAAAAAGTTTTGTTTTAAATCCAAGCTTTGTGTCACCAGATATAAGTGGTGGCACTGGTCCTGTATCCACTGTTGGCGTAACACACCCGCTTTAAGGACACTGACTGCTATTCAATCTATAACAGTGAAAAAAGAGGTTTTTGTTTTAAATCAAAGCTTTGTGTCACCAGATCTAAGTGGTGGCACTGGTCACCGTATCCACTGTTGGCGTAACACACCCGCTTTAAGGACACTGACTGCTATTCAATCTATAACAGTGAAAAGAGTTTTTTGTTTTTAAATCCAAGCTATTGTGACACCAGATATAAGTGGTGGCACTGGGCACCGTATCCACTGTTAACGTAACACACCCGCTTTAAGGACACAGACTGCTATTCAATCTATAACAGTTAAAAAAAAATTTGGTTTTAAATCCAAGCTATTGTGACACCAGATATAAGTGGTGGCACTGGTCACCGTATCCACTGTTAGCGTAACACACCCTCTTTAAGGACACTGACTGCTATTCAATCTATAACAGAAAAAAAAGTTTTTTGTTTTTAAATCCAATCTGTGAGCACCAGATGAAGCTAATTTGGCACTGACTGGGGAAATGGGCACAGTATCCACTGTGAGCCTGACACAGAAGCTGACAGCATTGGCAGACAACTGACTGCTATTCAATCTATAACAGTGAAAAAAGTTTTTTGTTTTTAAATCCAAGCTATTGTGACACCAGATGTAATTGGTAGCACTGCCTGGGGAAATGGGCACAGTATGCACTGTGAGCCTGACACAGAAGCTGGCAGCAGTGGCAGACAACTGACTGCTATTCAATCTATAACAGTGAAAAAAGTTTTTTGTTTTTAAATCCAAGCTATTGTGACACAGATGTAATTGGTGGCACTGACTGGGGAAATGGGCACTGTGAGCCTGACACAGAAGCTGGCAGCAGTGGCAGACAACTAAGTGCATTTACATTACATAGAAAAAAAAAAAAATCAAAAAAAGCATACCACTTATCCCTAACCTAGCTATACGCCCTATCTTATAATGAACAGCTTGGCTACACTTTCCCTCCCTCTTACTAAGCATGCAGCTTGAGAATGAATCTAGTGGATGCTGTCCAGTAGGTGGGAGGTCTGCTGGGAGGCTGTGTGCTGCTAGTGGCTGGAATGTGTCTGCTGACTGTGAGGGTTACAGGGTCAAAGTTTACTCCAGCATTGACGAATAGAGGGGCGTTCAGGCCGCGCATATGTTCGCCCGCCGTGGCGAACGCGAACATGCTATGTTCGCCAGGAACCGTTCGCCGGCGAACCGTTCGGTACATCACTAGTTATTACCAGAGCTCTGCAGTTTGATTAAACAAACCTCTACTGTACAGTAAATCATATGGTACAAAATTCATAGTAACACATAATGACTGTTCATAATGAACGTGGGGATTGGTTCAATCCCCACATAAGTCAGACACCTTCCAGTAACCTGGATAGCTCAGTTGGTAGAGCATCAGAATTTCAGTCTGAATGTCCAGGGATTAAGTTCCTGTTTGGGTGCACTCATGACTTTTAGATCATCAATATTAAGAGGGACTACCTGCAGGTCTGTCGGCACTTGAGCATTTGGTGCAGGGTAAGCAATTGATCTCCACTGAAAAGTGACACTTTAAAACAAAGGGAAAAGACATGTGTAAAGCATAAAAAGTTCTGGTACACGCAAAGGGGGCTATTCACCAAAGTGAGAATTCCAAGTGAGTTTTAAATTGAAAGTCAGAGTAGCTCAATGGAAAGCAGAGGTAATGTAGAGAATGTCTTTTTTTTTTTTTTTTGAAAGAAGAAAAACTACCACAACAAGAGGACATAGTCTTAAATTAGAGGGGCAAATGTTTAAAAATAACTTCAAGAAGTATTACTTTACTGAGAGGGTAGTGGACACATGGAATAGTCTTCCGGCTGAAGTGTTAGAGGTTAACTCAGTGAGGGAGTTTAAGCATGTGTGGGATAGGCATTAGGCTATCCTAGCTATAAGATAAGGCCAGTGACTAATGAAAGTATTTAGAAAATGTGGCAGACTGGATGGGCCAAACTGTTCTTATCTGCAGTCATATTCTATATTTATATATATAGCTTACATATTTAGAGTTAATGGCAAGTTGCACAGAATAGAACTGAAGAACTGAAGAACCGAACAGAGTAAATTACTCGACTACCATATATATATTATTTTTGGGAAAAAAATAAATTAAATTAAGGACACGTAGTAAGCATATTAATGCAGGCTAAGACAACAAGTTTGTATACTGATTCTTGTTCAAAAATATATAAACCACTTAAATCTAGCTAAGTTACACAATTTTAATTTTTTATTTTTCATTTACAGAAATACTGAAGGTGTTCACCTTTTGAAGAGATTATATGGTATCCAATTGATTGAAACATTTATGACAATCTGAAAAAAGAACATAGAAACAAAAATACAATTTCTTTCACTGTAGGTATGCCAAAGTAGATAAATAAAAATTGTGAAATACATTGTTTATGAGTATTTATGAGGAATATGAAAGTATTTTTTAATAATGTAACTTTTTTAAATATACAAATATAAAGTAAAATAATGTCTGCAGATATGAAAATGCAATGTGAGTGGATAACGCAGGATAGCATAGTAAAACAAATAAACAATGCTAAAATTTCAACCCAGAATAATATACCCAGGAGCTTAACATCTGTGTTTGAGAATTAAATTGAAGGATTAGCAGGAGATAATATTGAGGAAATCATATTCAACAACAATATCAGTACTGGTATTACAGGATGTGATCAAGGGATTTTGCTGAGGCATTTGATACAATTCTACAGAAAAATATATTGTATGAATTTATGTATTCTTGATTTATACATACATTGTCTTAATTGCTGAGTTCAGTGAGTTGATGTTAATGGAAACTTTCACGCTGGACAAATGTAGTAAATTTACTTTTCCAGGATTCCATCCTATGTCCACTTCTATTCAAAGAGGAACTGTTACCTCTCTGAAATTACACCAATGGATACAACATTGAAAAACATCTACAGCTTGTGTTAAATGCTTGCTGACATGGTTTATTTGTCTGAACTCTGTCATATTAGTATCAAATTGGTATATTTAATAGAAATCAACACTTTTACAATTGGGCAATGAATATTCAAACATCAAGGGAAGTTTTCTTCTGCTTCCATTGTCTAGAGAGCTAACAAATTTGGCAGGTATGCTGGGCTACTATGCACCTGCATTTCACTCTGGACTATAGCTCATTGACAAGACAAGGAAATGTCTACTCATGTGCACATATGTGCTCATGTGAGCTTGCAACTCAAGCACATAGACTTCTCAATGCAAAGCACCTTATTGGTGTATTCCCTGCACAGACAGAAAAACTCAACTAGGAGTAGGGAGGGCTTGCAATGACTGCAGACAGGAGTTTTTAAAAGCTGTTTTTTTCCTATACCCCCAAAGACATCATACAGAAAAATAATTAATATCTTTGGAGGTATATCTAATAGATTGCTAAAGAGATAAAACAAATATGCAATATTATTTTCAAATTATCTAAGATTTAAAAAGAAACATCACAATCCAGTACAGTCTGGGCACACACAGGGCACACAATGCAAATGAGGAATATACAAATGTTGTATAGGTTTTTGTCTCTTCCTCTATGTTCCGAAAAGGATAACATTATATAGCAATGAGTGACAGGGAGAGGAGATAGAGGTGCCCAGTTCCTGGACAAATGTTGCAGTTCCTCTTTAACAGGAATTAATTATCATGAAATGAAGCACACTTAAATATACTATCCACATTTAATTGCCACTCAATGTTTTAGTAACAACAGATATTTTTGTCAATATGTTTTCACTGTCAGAAATGAAAATATGTGTATATATCAATTTTTGGACCTAATTTTTACTTTTTTATTTTAGGGATTAGCATATGTGACCTAGAGCTTAAAATTGATTGCATAAAGAAAATTAGTGTTTACTGGATACATACTTGATATATCCACTGCTATTATTATATTAAAAGGATATGCATTACGCTG